TTTCTGTCCCTCGCCGAGCAAGAAGGTTTTCCTTTTCGTTTCCCTTAGGTCAGAGTGTCTAATAAGATGGCACTTCCTCATAGATCACCAACCAACGCCCAGTAAGTCAATCTTGTTCTGAACCCACTCTTTCCTGATTGGCAGACAGGCAGATAGTTCACCTACCTGTGCTTTAGAGTTTAATTAGAATTATAGTTATTTTCCTGCAAAGTTCCTCTTCGATATGACGCAATATCTGCAGTTTCAGGAATAGTTGAAATGTGTTCGAATATAATTAGAATACATAGCCAACTATTTTTTTTTTCAAAGAAACTTCCACACGCTACTGTAACAATTTTCAGTTTCGGTTAAGTTATGAAGAAGCCAATAGGATGGCTGGCGAAACGGCAAGTTAGATTTATCAACAACGAACATAGGAGAAATCTAGAAGAGTTGTATATAACAATATACCGACTTGTGGACGAGGATAAACGACACTACATTAGGCGACTAAAGAGAAGTACAGGGGGAAAGAAAACTAATAAATGGGGACGAAAAGACTGTCATCAGAAGAATAATAAGCTCGTTTCTTTTATGAAAGGAAATAGAATGATTTAATTCATCCATGGATAAGAAGAAATTAAAGATATACATGGTAAAACATGATATTAAATAAATTTTCAGCCAAAAATTTAATATGATTTAATGATGTTGCAATAGAATATCAGGGCGAGACCTAACCACGCGTGGTGAAATACACCACCATACACCAGTTTGAGTTAGGAGTTTTGAACTTTTTAAGTGAGTTACAATTGTTAAACTGTGATAGTGATACTAGAATATTGCAAAGAAGTCTTTTGTTATCCTTTGAGAGGTTGTAATATGTTCTCTAAAATCATGAACTTTTGCAAAGTCTACAAAAAGGCAAAACAGAGTTCTTTATAGAGAATTTTACGTCGAATTTCATATTATTGAGGATTTATTAAAATTATGTAGGAGCATATGCTCAGAAAAATGTTGCGTTACTGCTGCCGACTTCTTTAAGGTAGAAAAGTACAATTGAGCTTCATAGACATAAAGATGATAATCGCAAAAGTATAATGATGTTGTAATCCTGGATATAAAAATCGCAAATAGAAATAGACCTAAAATAGAATATTGGGTTACCCCTTTGTTAACAGCCAAAGGCAGAATGTCAAGGGCTTTGATCAAGTAAAAGCAACCATCTTAAAAATATCATGTATCAAGATCGCTTTCACAACTACAACCTGATCTAAGACCCTATTGTTTCGAGGGCAAAATATTGTAAATATTGACACTATATTTCCTTGTCCATTATTTTCGCCAAAATCTTAGAGCGTGTATGCAGAATACTAATAGAACGCAAATGATCAAACTCTCTACTGACCACACTACAGGAAAACATACATTTATTAATTAAGTGGATAATATTTTGTACAATTATGCGGCAACAAAGCTGCAGTAAAGTGATGATAATATTATTGATTCTGGTTGCCCTAGTCTCAATAGTGTTAATTATAGTAAGCACTTCAACTTCGTCAGTTAAATTAAAATTTAATTGTTAATCAATGCCATCAACTATCATCAATAAAAGTTAAGACGTTCTAGATTGGGAACGTATTAGAGGCAGTGCAGTTTATAAAAAAAAATAGAGAGTTGTTGGTTTGTTTTTTTTTTTACCTCGCACTACTTCTCCCTAGAATTAGAATTTTGAAATTTTGTTTGAAAATATTTTTTTTCTACTCCCGTCTGTAAAATACCTAATTACCCACCGATCTAGCGTGAGGGAAGCGTCACTTTACCACATCAGTTTCGTTTCCTGTGAATCCAAGTCAGAGATATTTCCCACGCTTTGAATTTTCGTGTTATTTTGTGAAAATGTACTAAAAAACTAATGGCCGTAGAAAAAGTAAAGTATGCAATACGTTTGGTAAACTTTTTAACTCACTCGTTTATTAAAAATTCTCTCCTCTGCGCTCTGCTGAGCTCCGCTCGTGTCAAATAAACTCGTGAATCAAATGCACTTGTTGCATAATATACTATTTCCTTACTGACTATAAGTTTATAGTAATTATAATATACAATGTCATCAGACTATGTGAATTTTTTTTAGTCCTTTTTTTGTAATAGATTTATTAGAAAGAAAATAAAGAAAGATTATAGATTATTTAGAAAAAAATTCATTGAAAAGTGAGAATTTCGTATCAATGCTACTTGAATAAAGAACATTGGATCAAGGCACAATCTGATGGTCTTCGTCAAACTCCTATTATATTAATCCCTTTTTATTGCCCTGTACAGACTGAGTAAAGTTCATTATCTCATTGGTTTCAAAAGTTATGAAAAAATAGTAAAAATCAATGTTGTAAAGATTGTTAGGATACACAATTTAAAATTGTTTTAAAGTATACACGGTGGCTCAAAAAAGTGTGACGAATAACGCATACATTTTTTTAAATGGAACACGCTACTTTTAAATTTTGTTTTGAATTCCTTTGAAATTCTTCGATTTTTTAATTAATAATATTAAAAGTAATAATTTGTAGATAGTTTTCACAATATTTTAATTTTTCTAAAAAAATACTAGTTTTCACACTCATTTCATATTATCGTTAATCGAAAATGACGTAAAACATATACGTAACGGAATTTGGATCATTTCAAATTGAAAAATTTCGACTTTCATAAATGGTGCACCATATATACTATATTTTTTTCTTTTATTAAGTACTTTGCGATTTAAATTAAACTTTTGCAATATTTAACCTTCTTTCTGTCTAAGACTGTTACTATATTATGGCCAGGGCAACAGGGGCTGTTAATATTAAAAAATGAACAGGAGAAGGAATTTTATGGTAGGCGTAAATAAAGCAAAGGACAGTTATTAGCAATTTTGGTGAAAATAATGGCCAAATTTTAAATTCACAAAAAAAGTAAATAACATTAAATACCATTACAACAAATGAATTTATCTTATTTTGAATTATTATTATGACGCAATAAATGTTAAAAAATATACCCTTCTACTTGAATATAAATGTCTAGTCATTTTCGTATATTTTCTTGGACGTTTCTGGGCATACATGGTGTTTTTATCCTGCACGCCTTCCCAATTCTATATCCACATAAATACGATCTTTAACATATCCCCACAAAAAGAAATCTAATGGTGTCCATCTTACTGAAACCACATTTGTTGGATCTCAACGTTACCAATTTCTTAAAGAGGTCGAGGTAAATCACATTCTGCAAAAGGTGTAAATATCTTTAAAGTATTTTGTTTCACACCACACATTAATCAAAATGGTAGCTTTTTGTAAGATATTTCGGAGAATATAATCATATATACGCCATTGAAGAAAATCTACACGTATCTGCTTTTTCTAATAGCCTGTAGCACCTAATTCAAAAATCCTTGCATATACCTTTAAAAATGGTGAAACTATCATTGTGTGAAAGTGTGAAAATTAAAATAGTGGAAAAACTGTTAGGTTTGGGTATGTAATTATTAATAAGAAAAACTGAAGAATTTTAAAATTACTTCAAAACAAAATTTCAAAATATTGTATGCCGTTTAAAAATTATTGTTTTAATCGTCACGCTTTTTTGAGTTTTTTTTGTACGTTAAAATAATTTTAAATTGTGTATCCTATCAATCTTTAAAGTTTTTGTATTTTCCATTTTCTCGTAACTTGTGAAATCAATGAGATAATAAACGTCATTCTATCGTTGACTCACACTGTACATGAAAATACTAAAAATATATTTATTATTTTTTACTTAACACAATTAAATTAGAATAACAAATGTTCAGATTTTCGAAGTTTTTAAATATTTATGACAGTGCCTTTAGCAAATACAAAATATGACAATATTCCGACACCTATACATATATATATATATATATATATATATATATATATATATATATATATATATATATATATATATATATATATATATATATATATATATATATATATATATATATATATATATATATATATATATATATATATATATATATATATATATATATATATATATATATATATATATATATATATATATATATATGCAGGATTTGCAGGATTCCAGTCGGATGCAGGATTCCAGTCGGATGCAGGATTCCAGTCGGAGTTCAACGAGCGAACGGATGATATCCCGGAGTATAGTGTCATCATATATATATATATATATATATATATATATATATATATATATATATATATATATATATATATATATATATATATATATATATATATATATATATATATATATATATATATATATATATATATATATATATATATGTCTTGCAATATTGTCATATTTTGTGTTTGATAAAATCACGGTGTTGCCGAAACAGCTGTCATTGTCATCATTGTATTGTTCAAATTTAATTGTGTTAAAAGGATTTTCGTCAAGTAAAAGCCACCTCAGTCCAACTGTTTGCTTAAGGTTTTTGATAACACCGAATAGTCTTAGACACGAGTGCTGCAATTTTTCAGGTGCAGAATGGGCCTGGAGCAAGGGGTAGTTAGTTAGAAATGCCGCAGTAGCAATATTTCCGATTGCATAAATATAACACTTATTTTTCCCATAAGCTTCCGGGTCGCAGGGAAGCGTAGTCAAACGCGAAGTAATAAGCGCCAACGCTTACTGAGAAAACGGTTTTCCGCCGGAACAAACCGGTAAACTATCAAACTTCGAACATTAAAGTAAAAACCCTAAGCTCCAATTTTGTTGGGACGACGCCGTTAAATACTTCGGAGTGGTGGCAGACTCTCAAAGCGCACCGGGCCGATGCTAATAATCCGGAATACCCAGAGGTATTTCTAATAAAGCAACGAATAATACCGGCGACCAACTCCAGGCAAAGTTGAGAGATTTCGCGGGCAACATTAAATTTACATGGAATTTCGCTCGTTTACGTGTTTCGCTGCGGAATTCCCGTAGGATGCCGCGAGTTTCTGATCGAGTTCTAGTTTACTCACCTGACGAGTCCAGCACGGACGAAGCTGAAAGAAAATGAAACGATTAGTGTCAAACGGATTCATTTTTGCTTTCTATATCTACTAGATTCACATCAAGTAAATAAATATATTAATTTTTGTTTTTTTTTATAAATAATTTAAATGTGACAAAATCAAAAATCCTGCGAAAATGGCACACGCACCTTTTAGTATATTCTACCTCGTTGGCTTTACACGAACCCTCCCCAATAAAACTTTAACGATGTTATTACCTTTTGTTATTGGGTAAAGCCATTTCTTTCTTTCTGATATATCTCTTGAGTGTTGACCATTTGTAGCACATCGTTTTTCGAAAAAGTTCTTTTATGAAAATATAACAATGTCGATTCGAAATTACTTATCGCTTGATGCAAGACAGGTTGTAAAAATGTCTGTGAAACTTTGTAGCCTATTAAACAAGAAGCTCTAAAACGCGCTTGTCTACTTGCAATAAGTTTAGAATCTATCACAAAAAAATTTAACGAATTTTTAATTTTTAGCCAAACAAAAAAACAAAAAGTTAATATTTGTTCTAACGATATTTAATAACACTTGAAAATTTTATAAAGTCTTTTCAAGTAGCCAAAACATTGCTCATTATAATAGGTATATTAAGAAATCGTCAGTTATATGTCAAAATGTTTATTTTAAATTTTTGACAGAAAACTCCATGTATTTTTAATTGACAAAAATATATCCCTGATACAAAAAGTGAATGTTGATTGTTATTGTTAAATAAAAATTGCTTAATTAATAAGAAATTTTATTTCAAATGCCTTGTCCAAGATAGTTAACATTATCTGAGAAAGCCGAGTTAGTTTTTGTTAGTAATATGAGAAAAATTATAGACCAGTGCGTATAGTAACATATATCTTCAATGGACAACATCCAGGTAAACAAACTCTGTTCTATTGTTAGTTGGAACTCATTTCAAATAAGCAAGGTCTTTAGAGTGTAAATGCCACAGAAATGAACATCTTCAATCTGTATGTAATAATGAAAATCAACTAAATGTAATTTAGGCAGTTCTTGGAAACTCTCAAGAAATAACCAAAATAAGCAGACACGCGCTGCAAAGAGCCGAAGCTAATTGTCGTGAAAGAGTTCAACAATGCATTAATGAAAACACGCCATGCGAGAAGTTATTTCCCGTTCATGGGCATATTTTAAAATGGTTTGTTTTTATCTATGTTGTTTTGTCAATAAATTGTTTCTATAACTAACAACGTTATTATTTTTAAAAAAAGCTTGCTTACTATGGTATATTGTTGATAAATAAACTGATAAAAATGCTTTTAAAAAATCACATTAGTTTCTTCCACTTTTATTAAACCAATTAGCACCCAACAAAACCGTTACTATGAAATGCGAAGTTTCAAGATAATTTGCACAATCATATTTTTTAACATTATCTTAAACACATAAATATATATATATATATATATATATATATATATATATATATATATATATATATATATATATATATATATATATATATATATATATATATATATAAACAACCCCTCCCGAAATATTTCACAAATATTATTCCCATTTCAATCTGTACGCATTGTTTATGCCCATTGCAACCTATTTCATTGTTTATGCCCATTGAAACCTATTTTCAATTAAAACAAAAGTTTCATTTATATGCTAGAACGAGCTGCTGTAATCTACTTGGCAAAATTGGCAAACACATTTCGTTTGATAACTGCCATAAATTAAATAAAATCGAATTTTCTAAATTGGAACAAGCTTCAGCTGCGTGCCGGTTAATTTGTACTAATTCACAAGGATGAGAATGCAAAATTCTTCGCATCGATCACGCCCGAGAGAAATGAATTATGCCCCTTTGGTGAAGCTAAACCAAAGTTACACTTTGTTCACAAATCTTCTGAATAAATTTGTTCATTAAACTCTATTGCAAAAAAGTATGAATTCATTCTTTGTAGGATATTTCCAAAAAAAAGTGGGTACTTCTAAAAAAGTTTGTGAATTCTCACTTTTTTACAAATCTAAGCAGTTGCTCTTCTTCTATAAAACTTTAAAGGAAGTTTGTTGATTTTACTTTTTTGCAAAATTTCTTACAAAATTTGCAAATTTTGCGTATATAAAAAAATTTTGCCATTTTTTCACAAAACTTCTAAGGAAATTTGTTGATTTTACACTTTTACAAAATGATTTCAATTTTCTGTTAGTTATGTAAAAAAAGTAAATTCTTAATTATTTTTAAGACATTTCCACAAAAAAGGACGAACCTAAAAACAATTTTACAAAAAAATTCTTTTTTTGAATAATTTCGTAAGGAAGTTTGTGAATTTACATTTATATCTGAAAATTTATTTAGGAAAGTGTAGGTTTTGATTGTTTTTGTGAAAAAGGTTTGAATTCGTATTTTGCTAGGACATTATCCAAAAAAAAGTGCATATGCAACATAACACTATTTTAATATTTTCGTGAATACATTTTCGTTTAGATTAATGGTCTAAACTATAAATGTGCATTTTTCTGCTATACTTTAGTTGTCGAACAGTCTAACAAATCTTAATTGGCGTAAGCCCAAAATATGACGATTATGAAAAATTGTAAAATTGTAAAAATGTAAAGTTCGCGTTTCTTTAAATTTTTATTGTAGCTTATTTGGTTCATTAAAATATTAAATAAGTATTTTTGTAAAGTATTACTATAACATCTTGACTGTTCATTTATCTCGCTTTTATACTATATAATTTTGCCAAACTACCAGAAACAAACGTAACTGGATTGAATGGATAATGCGGCAGATTTTTATTGTACATATTTTACGTCCACTTTGCAAGATTTTAATTTAGTTCAAATAGAAAAGTAACAAGTAACATTACTGGTAACAATTCACAAATAAATGTTAGAAAATATTTACGGAATATACTGTGAGAGAAAGATGAACCTTAGAAATAGAGTTAATTTGCCATCACAATTCTTGTTGAACTTCTTAGATAATATGGATTTCTAACGAAGTTTCTTGAGGAAGTTTCATTATAATCAGATTTTTGTGCATTCTGAATTAAAGGTTCTGTTACAATTAAATGTTGTCTAGTACGTCTGAAATGATTAACAAAATTATCTCTGACTACAAAAGATCTCGGTTGTGTACATTTATTAATAAGCCAGTGCATGAAATTGCCATTAACCGTTTCATCTGTCAAGTTTTTTTTTCGTTCTATATTACATAATATATAAATTTTGGTATTTTTTCTGTGTTTCGAGTTGGTTTTGTTTTAACTTGTGGTTTTTTATAAGCACGGGTTTGAACATGGAATCTACAATAGGCAAATCATATTTTAATCGTCTGCATGACATTCGAGCAGGTGATAAAAGCAGTACCGGATTTGGAGTGTTCCAGTAAGTTAATAAATAATAATATAATAATATAATATCTTATTTTGAGCCTCCGTTTTTAAACCTATCCTAGGAAGAAGGTAGCAGCGCTAAGCAGGAAAAATACACATAAAAAAATAAATACCTAGTACGATCTGTGCGAATAGAGGGAAGTACACTTTCGAAATAATTTACACTAGACATTACTTAAATATTTAATGATAATAATACTTCACGCAGGTGTGTGGAAAAGGTATTGTTTAGCAATTTAAGAGACTGGTCCAATGCATTGTATGTTTTAGCCATATTATGTGTAAAGGATCTTTCAAAAATTTCACAGATGTGACGTGGAGGAGTGAGCAGGCCTTTAAATATTAAATTTAAATTGTGAACGTCCGTCCGTAAAATAAAGATTTTCTAAACTACCATTATTTTCGTAAAAACACTTCATATTTTTACAATTATTGACACTTTGTTCTGCTAAACCATTACTCTGTGAATTGTTTGGGCTGGACGCAGTTAAAATAATGTTACGTTTATTTAAAATTTATTTCAGAAGATGATTGTCTGCAATGATAGTGAGAGGAAAACCGTGGACGGCGAAAACTGATTTATTTGTAACTCTATTTAATTTTATGCAACTTGAAATAAAAAACCTTATATTTCTAATATATGTATACCAATTTTTTCCCAAGGTCATACCAAGATTAGTAAAATTATTGTGACTACCCTGAATTCGCTCCTTTTCGAACCATAAAGAGCTTCTAAAAAACGTACTAACCAAAACCACCCTGTACCAAAAAATCCAAAATAGCTATGACTTTTCTGTTTGTTTTATCTTTCTTTTCATAAGAAAGTAGCATTGGATCAAGAAAGACGCAACACAGTACCTTTATAAATAAGGGCGGTACGCCGTAAAACGGTCAAAAATGGGACACACTGTACATCAAAACCGTACGACAAATAAAATAAACGCTTTCCTTCTAATTTCGTCAAAATCCGAACAATTAAAAACCCATATATCGTTTGGCATTCCTTTTATGGTCCGAAACAACGCGCAGGCGGCGGCAAATGAAAAATCGCCTTCGCAGAAATCCGTTTTTATTAAAATTCCACGCTCGCAGGACCAATCTCGCCACGTCCGTCAACGGGCGGGGCGAAAATTAATAGTATTTCACGCTCGGACGTTACGATTCCGCGTACTGGTCTCGGCGGTCATCATTTATAATTTTCTAATTCACTACACTATTATTACATCGTAACAAATTGGCTGCGAATGAGCGCACAGTTTTGTTTCGATCAGGATGACGATCGCGGTTTTGCTGCGCAGCGATTGATTCGCTTAGGAACCGGTGGAATCTATGTCGCAAAATTCCCCCAACTAGTCGTTATGGCCGCTTCGTATAGTAGCCAAAACCCTTTAATCTCGGCATTGTCGTTAATAAAAGAAAAAAGTTGTATATTTCATATGTTTATGTTGTCTCTTGCGGATATGACGATTTAAATTAGTAATTATCACGACTAAAACTAAGGTTAGGGTCATTACTAATGGTATATTAGGCAACAAGTGCCGTGAGTTTTGAGTTTATTTGGCTCGGGGGCACAGTGATTTCATGTATATCCTAAACCGTGACAAAAATAAATTC